AAGATGACTCCATTCGTGCCACTACTCATCAGTTGGTACAAGATTGGATGAGGAAAGAAGACTCTATCACACTCCCACTATCCACACACTTAAACTCTTTGTAATATTATCTTGGAAAGCTGAACTCTCTTTTTTTATCTTCAACGCAACTCTATTTATAGACCAAGGATGAGGGTTTGTATGTTGCATTGGATCATGGGCTTGTGTTCAAGAAATCACATCAAGCCCACATAAAATTAACGCCAACACACACTTCAGCAGCTTAGCAAACAAGGAATCTTTGCACAAGGAGACAATGGTGGGAGATAAGATGTAGTGTGGAAGACTTCCACAGTAGGTGGAGACGGCGCGCTCTGTCATTTGCAGTGTACTATTGAACCACTTTTTGTCTTCTAGGGTGTCCACTCTCTTCTTTGAATTTGAATAGTTTTTCACCTCTTTTTCAGTACAACCAAGTTTTCCCTCCAGTTAAAACTTCCTTCCACGTTATCCTCATTTTCCAGCAACTTCCATTATTGTTTCCCTTTGGTCTAAGTTCCCTCAATTTCCTTCTGCTTGTGCTTTATGCAGCATACTACTGCAGTCTTGCCTCAGCTCGACCCTGCTAACCTTTGCTAACACAAAAACCCAAGTAAATGATAAAAAGAGAGCGCCTATTATGCTTCAAGCTAAAACAACTAAAACACAAAAAATGTAAGAAATGATAACTAATAAGCAGAATAAAAAGACTAAATAGACAATCCTAAAGGCATATATTAACTCATAAAATGTGGGTTAACAGTAACCGTGATTTGTTATGTATTGTGGTCCCAACCTTTTTTTTCATCTTTTCTTATTTTCTGAACATAATAAACACACACAATAATAATATTAGTACTAAAAAGAAAATTGTTAGAAAGAAAAACTAAAAATAGAAAAAAGATTTAAGTAAAGTGAAAATTAAAAGTTATGCAAGACTTTAAAATAAATGATTTTAATTTTAGTAATGATTCAACTTTAAAAAATATTTTAAATTGAATTAAAATTAAAATTAAAACCAAAAAATATTATTGAATTAAAAGAAATACAAATCAATGAAAAAATGAACTACAATTTTGGGATGTTTGAATAAAAGAGAAATGAGAATTAAAATAGGAAAAATGCAAGGATGATCGACTTTTCGAAAGAACAAAACAAAACAAAATTCATCAGATGAAAAGAGAAAGAGGCAAAAAATGGGGTATGACAATATTATATTGAGGTCCCCATCCATCAGAGAAGTGGATGACGTTACCAGATATGGATTATGTAATAACTAATGGGTATAATGTCATTCTCGTCTCTTTGGGTTATCCTAGTTTAACTTTCTTTCCTATGACGACTTCACATTCACCTAATGTATCCATTTACTGCATTAGATCTGTAGACAGGAATCATTGGATTCAGGTAGTTAAATATTCAAATTTGTCAAGTTAATTACTAATTTTTCATTCATGCCTTACTTATTTTTCTTTTGATATTAATTTTCTAAATATGTAAACATGAATGAAGTATTTTTTTTGGCACCCATCACCGTAGATTGGAAGAAATTCCGCATAAAAGATACGACCTCTTGAATGGTAGGACTTGTCAGACGGTTACAACATTGGCAATGCCTTACACCTATAGTTCTACAATATGTTAGATTATAATTGTAATGTGTGTGTTATATTTTGGATTATATTGACATTTGACTGCATGTTATATTTTGAATTCTATTGCATAAGTCTTAAAATAACAAAGAAGTAAAAAAATACATAAGTATCATAATAATACACGAGTCTCAAAGTATTACATAAGTCTCGAAATAATACACAAGTCTCAAAATAAGAAAGAAGTAAAGAAGGTCATATGTCAGACTCATCGTCATAAGTAACTGGTCCGCCCTGAGCTACACGTAGTGACCAAAATATCTCAGGGAACTCATCGTCCTCCTCATTTGCATCGTGACATTGTAAGTAACAATGAAGCTCATGTGAAATATATGATAACCTCTGATTTGATGGTTCTTCGTCATAGACATGAACTGAGACTTCTCTCACCTCATCCCGAGGTGGTGCTATCAAACGAGGATGTGATGCCCTATAGTACCATTCCAAGTAACCATCATCCACATCATATGGGGTGATGGCGAAAACTGCCTCACGAATCACGTCCAACACTCTTTGGACATATCCAACCCACTCAACATCCATATCAAGTGTGTCAGAATCAGGAGGTGGACGTGGTATGTACTGTCTATCTTCAAATTGACGCATGCATTTGTCAGGTAAATATAGCACAATTTTCTCATACCATTTCAAACCACCATTGTACAAACATATATCATCAAATGGACGGTGTTGTCTATGATCCTCAAAAGGCCGCCAAATGACATCATAAGGTGTCAATGCATCTAACAAAGGCCTAATCTCATCAACCGTTTGTGCACCTTGCTTGTAATCCCATTTCATCTCCCTCAGAAGTGGACTACCGATACCATCAATCCCAGGAAATCCTCTCTTGTCAATAATTGGAAAATACTCTTGAATCCAACACTGTTACACAACATGAATATTATCAATTGAACTAATTATAAATAAATAAAGACAAGTCAAATTAAAATTAAAGTAAAATATTTTGTACCTGTAGAAGAGAGGCATATCCTCCAAGCTGCTTGCACACATAGAAGGAAGCATCTCCTAAATACATGTAGAGTATGACAAGTGTTGTTTCCCCCAGCAAAATCTACCACATCCATCCAAGTTCCTAAATAGTGGTAAATATTTTTCCTCTACGAGAGTAAAAGTCCTGTCAGCAAGAATGGTGCAACCTAACAACAACAACATATAGGATCTAGTAGCACAATCAAATCGACCAGCAACTCACTAACGCACAAATATCACCTTCAACCAATCCAGCCTATAATAAGGACCTCTGCAAGTACGAATCCTCTTAGATGCCTCCTCCAAGGAAACACCCATCATATCAATAGCTAGACTAATATCATCAGTATTAGTAAAACCTTCTACATGTCACATAACTCACCTCTACACGGTATATGAAGAAGACAGGAAACATCGTATAAAATAATGGTCGGTTCGTTGAATGGCATATGAAAGGATGATGTTTCTGGATGCCATCTCTCTATAAAGGCCAATACTAAATTTTGATTTATCCTCGACAAACTTGTTCTCTAGAGAGGATAGATCAAAGTCAGACAACCAATACTCTATCACCAGTGGAGACTGTGTGGAACTCATCCTATCAATTTGCTTCCATGTGCAGTAACCTTTAATTCTTTCTTCGACTGTCTCTTCTAAAAATAATTTATAGTATAAATGTTATAAGATATAAGTACTTACAATTATAAATGATTCGACATTAAATGACAAACCTCACCGAACCATAAATGACGAGCAACGTGACCCTAATACTTCACCAGAAGAGACATATCGATCGGTCCTTCGGAGAACTTGAATTTGCCATGTCTATCAAGGAGCTAATAAATGGGAAGATTTTCTAGCAACTCTCCAACATTTTTCTATAATCTTTTTTTGTATTTTTATTTATTCTATTTCTTAGTGTTGAGAACCAAATGTGAGGAAGAAGGTTCACATTGATTAGAAAATAGAAGATTGAACACTTTATAAGTGAGAGAACCCATACACCTATCGTTTTAAGATTTTAGATGAATATATAGTGTCTCTCACTTATGTATTGCTTTTGACTAAACATTAAATGCTCTCACGTATTTCTTAAAAAATCATGTAAAAGGCACTAGTTTCTCCCATTATATTTAGTAATTTGATTCTTATTAGCATTAAAAAAATGAAAATGCACTTTTTATACTCTCAACTAATGAAAGACATACATCACAATAAATTCTAATTCTATTTTTAAAATATTGAAATAACATAGAAAATATAAAAATTTTAATTAATTATATATATATAATTATTGTACATTGACAATGCACTATCTTTAAAATCTTAAAAGAAATTAAAAGAATTGTTTCATAAAAAATAATGAGTATTTATTATGAAAACAATATAAAACAAAAATAACGAGTATTGATTGTTATGCTATTCATACAATTTTTCTTACACTACACCGTGTGGTAGTGTTCATTTATACTCAAATATATTAATTAAATAATAATTAGTAGCTTTGACAAATATGTGGGTCATAGAAAGTTAGAATTTTTCTTCTCTCTCTTAACTCCCAAATATTATAATAGTGAACCGTCTAATGAACAGTAACCTGAACGGTAACAGTATCCGTGAGCAGTATATGAATAATGATATTTTATAATAAATTAAAGTTGGTTAATGAAACGTAAAAACTTAATTAATAAACGGATGAAGTTGATTAATATACACTTTTATATTAAAAATAATTTTTAATAATAAAATAAAATTGGCTAATACAATATAAAATATTAATTTACAAAATTATAAAGTTGATTAATAAATATTTAAATTTTTAATGATTATAAAGTTAATTAATGATATTTAAAATATCGATTAATAAAATTATAAAGTTAATTAATCACATAATTCTATATATATATTTCTTTAATTTAAAAATAATAATTTTTTTTTATAAATATATTTTATTATTATAATATTTTATTGTTTATCATATTAGTGAATAATGAAATGATATAGAATAAGAATAACATATTTCATTAGTTATGAAAAGAATATAAAACAATTTAAAAACATTTAATAATGAAAATATGTCATTATCAATGAGATTCACTTTATGCAGAAACGTCCTTCCCCAGTCTCTATCTCAATATATTTATGATACGTTTTTGTAGTAAACGCAGAAACCCTCTTTCTCATATAATACGGCGTTTCTTCCCTCTTGTTTCATATTTTTTCAAACAACTCTCCCATTAGGTTTCTGCTCTGAGATTTCCACAAATACACATAAAACAGAGTCTCAATTCTGTGCGCCCTCTGCTTTTGTTTCAGATCACTCGAAACTTTTCTTCAATGGAATTCAAATTCCGTGCCGTCGACGACAACAACCCACCCTCAACAACGTCAAATTCTCTTTCCCCGGTCACATATATCCCTGATCAATCACTTCCACGTAAGGCTATCGAAAACCCTCTTTTGCTTCAACACCACGCTTTTATAATTATATCAAAGAAAATAAATCTATTTTTTTATATCTGATATTTATAGTTGTTCTTGTTTTTCCAGTGAACGGAAGTTTTTCTGGATTGCGAGTGCCGTTATCCGGCGAGGCAGCACTGCGACGTGAGATTGAGAAGGAGCAAATCCGCAGGGAGATTTTGCGGCGGATAGAGCTGGAGGAGGAAGTGAGAAGGGAACTTGCAATGGAGAAAGAATTGGGGATATCAATACCGAGGCCACTGATGAATGTTCAAGTACTGATGTCTCATTGGTCGAATTCAACTGTGATGAACCCTGCTGCTGTTGCTCATGTCGATGCGCCGCAACCACTGTCGATCTTGCCCCCTGCTGAAATCAACCCTTCTCCGGAGATCAGTCACAAAGACAAAGACAAAGTTATTGTGTTGGTCAGTTTCATAACATTTTTCCAATCTCTTTTGTTCTTGTATTTTATTACTATTGATTTATTGATTGTATTGTTGAATAACACTGTTACATTGACTTTTCTGAATGTTTTGGCCTAGAGATGTTTAATCAATTTAATAAGGGGTTAATGAGTATATTATTATTAGATAAGTTATCAATCATCTACTGAACTTGATTAACTACAAATTTATATATTATTAATTAGGATGACAAGTGTTCTAACTACAGCTAAATTTGAACACTTGAAATTAAGGTTAATAGTGTTTAAATTTTTAGTTAATAAAGTTCTGTAAATGATTCATAAATTACCATACTTGATATATTTATTAACTAAATTTACCAATTGATTGTTTTCTTGTTCTTTTAAGTAAAATAACACATGAAAAGAGACATGTTTATATAATTTTAATACTTATATATATATACACACAAAAATGTTATCTTATAACATCCATTTGAGACAATAAAATTTGACAGTTTTATAAATAGATTAAACGGTTCACAAAATTATTAAAATGTTAAATTTATGTATAAACTTCATGACATGATTCAAACTTCTTATTAAACTTTGCAAAGTTGGCCATTTATTGGTAAACAGAAGTACCATTTGTGAACTATTTTATATATCTGTCAAATTGTATTGTCTCAAATGGATGTTTTAAGATAACATTTTTGTGTGTATATAAATAAGTAGTAAAATCATATAAATGTGTTTCTTTTTCATTTGTTGTTCTACGTAAAAGAACAATAAAACAATCCATTGGTAAATAGAAGTAATCTTTGCTGTGTTTAAATAATTGAGATATTTATTAACTAAATTTAATGCTCGTTGAGATGAAAGGGATTTATTATATTCATATTGTGTCACTGTTGTCGTCACTATTGTTTATGGTGGATGATGGTCCCATGGCAGAAAGCCGAAAGCCCGCCATACCGTCTGCTTTGGGGTGCTGTTATAGCAGAATATGGCGGAAAAATCCACATTCAGCCAATATTTATCATTACAGCGAGTCCAAAAACTGCCATGTATATCTGTCATAGCGGCCATGGCGCCACTATTTGATAACACTGTTGTGTGTAACAATATTTGTTGTTGAAAGCATAAACTTAAAATGTCATTTTAGGGTATATTCAATGAAAGTGTGATGATTTTAGGACTAATATATTTATGAACTTACTTGAATTGATGTTTTATTTGAGTATCTCAATGCAGGACAAGCCAGATCCCGATCTCTTTAATGCAAAGCGAAAGGCAACGGTACCTCCTGTTTCTGAAATTGAACCTGTTGCGTTTAGTTTAAAGAAAAAATTGAAGGAGGAGTGGAGTTGTGCACTGTGTGACATTAAAGCCACAAGTGAGAGTGGCTTGAATGCTCATTTGACCGGTAAGAGGCACAAGGCCAGAGAAGCAGGACAGAACAGGATGATTGCTAAGAGAAACAAAAAAAGTGGGGAAAATGTGATGGTTGCTGAAACAGTTGCTAATACCACAAAGTTAGTGGTTGATGCAGAAAAAGATCAACAGCTTCTTCAACCTTGCACAGGCTTGGAAGTCATGAATGAAAAAAAAGAGGAGGAGCTTGTGAAGACAGTGGCTGATAATGATGCAAGTGCAACAGAATCAAAAAATGAGAAATTAGCGGCGACGATGGTTGATAAAGATAAAACTGAATTGAAAAATGAAGAGCAACTTGAGGAAACAATGGCGGATAATAGTGTAATGGGGAAAGTAAAACCCATAAATGAGAATGAGCTGGTGGAGATGATGGTGAGTAATGATGTTATAAAATTTGAAAATGAGGGGAGGCTTGTGGAGAAAAGCCAAAATGTAGGCTCTTTGAATAGTAAAAAAGATGCTGCAATTGAGGAAGCAGAGAAGAAAAATGCATTAACAAAAAGGAGCAAGGTTGAACCTTTGTGGTGTGAGATTTGTCAAATTAACACTTTCTCAAAAGCTGTGATGGAAAGTCATGTGAAAGGGAAAAAACACATAAAGAAAATGAAGAAGTTTGGACAAAACAATGTAAGTCCCCCATCCACATCTTCTGTATCTCAAAAGGCTCCTCCTAGGTTGATCAATGATGAATAAACTGTCAAGAAGTGATTTTTTTTTATTTTTAAATTTAGATTAAGTCCATCTTCTAGTAGCTGAATCAAGAGGAGTTAGAATTTATGAAGGATTATTAGAGGAGTTAGAATTTATGAAGGATTATTAGTATATGCCAAGTGTTATATTAATTTCAATGGATGCATCGTAAAATTTATCTGCAAGGCCTACGCGTTAGCCATTAACTAGTGTAAGTTATTTTATTTTATTTTATTTTTTTGTCACTCATTTTATAATTTATAATCTATGTTGTGAAGACATATAATAAGGTGGGATTCTACTTTGTCCAGGAGTTTTTTTTTTAGTAAAAATATATTGAAATAACATTGGGCTATTCTTCAAATGTTTTTGAATTCCTTTCCTCATCTTAAGCAATTGAATTAGAAGATTTTATCCTGACACCTTATTTTGCCCTAACACCCTTACATGAAGGTGTTTTTTTGTGATTTTTAACGTTTTTAAAAAATATTGTGTTTTTCGGAAAAATTTGTGAAATTTATCGGATTTTTGGAGATATTAATAAGTTTTTACCTAATTCTTTAGGGTTAGTTTTTATCGGATTTTTGAATATTAATGAGTTTTTACTAGATTTTTGAGGGATAATTTTTACTGAAATTTTGAAGATCATGATTTTTTACCAGATTTTTCGTTTGCTCTTTTTTGTTTAATTTTGACAAAGATATTTTTTCCATTATAAAAACATGTGGAGGTGTCAGATCAAGGTGAGAGTGTGAGGATAAAATCTGTAGACTTAGTTATCTAAACTTTACAATAACCTTTATTTTATTCGATTTTTATTTTATCTGATACTACTTTGAAATCTTAGATATTTGTTAGAAATAAAATTTCTGAGATTAAATCCAATACTTGATAATCATCCTTCATTAGTACTTGATGTCTCATTTTATTGAACACATGTGTTTATCCTTTCAATCTCATCACTTGGTACTTCATGGATTTTCTTAAGGGTGTCCCAAAACTTTTTTAGTTATGCTAAAGTTAAAGATCTGAAAGAACTCTCTAGTGCTTATCGCACATGTTATCAAATACTTAGCTTAAAACTCGAGATGCAATTTTCTCTTTTTTTTTTTTTTTTTTTGTGGTTCATAAATAATTTGATTTTTCTACTACTACATCATTAGCAAAATGAATAGAGACAAACTAACCATTTAAAACAAAGTTTCATAAATCATAACCAATAGAATGAAAAAAAAAGTTTATTCTCTCTTTTCCATATACCAAACTTTTTACCATTAAATGGTAGAGCAGTTCATAAAAAGTTCCTTGTTAAAAGAAAAAATGTTTGAAGTTATCATCATCTCTTTAGATATTTAATCTTATAATAGAAGTTAGGTTTTGATATCACTTGTTAGTTAAGTAACTCCAAACACAAAAAAGATGATATGGTTGAATTATGGTGATTTAAAAATGAAATCAATTTATAAAAAATCTTTGTTATTTGAAACAATTGTTTTGGTTTTAATAATAGCACAAAGATAATATAGCGAAAATAAAGAAAAAAGATGGAGATGAAGAGAAAAACATAGTGCAAATAACATAAATAATGGAAATAAAAGAGAAGAGATAAAAAGAGTGCGCCAAAGATTTATACATGTTCAAGCTAATTACTTGATGTTGGTGTTGGATCGGGTATAACTCAAGTCTTGCTATTTTACTTTATTAAGTAGGATTTAAATATGTATTTGATTTTGGAGAGTATGTGTTCGAATAAGTGGTTAAACATGTCAAGTATTTTTTTTCTATTAAGCTTCAAATTGGTTTTACTTCCTTGATTTCTAGTATTTTTACTAAGCAAAAATCTGATATTGTGGTCGGTGACGATGTTATTGGTGTTCCCCCTAATATGCTGAATTTTAGTTACAAGTTTTTTGCTGGGAAATGTAACATCCCTCTAAATCCAACGAATAATTTAATAAATAAATTAGAGTAAAGCACCAACGAGGATGTCACATGCTTCATAAAATTTCTTAAACAAAAATATCTTACTCCGTAACACGAGTTTTCAACAATTATCTCATTTATCCTTTTCGGAAAATCAACGAATATTCTTCAAAACACTTACGCAACGGAAATCATAATCACAACATAACTTTATTTATAATATCTTTCAAACCATCATCAAATTTACACCATCCATAGTCTTAATATTCCAATAACTTAAAACAACTAGAACTACTTATTTTATTCTATCAACAAAAGGAACACAATATATAAGTCAAACATTTCCTAACCCGATATTACATATCAGAGCAAGACACCTTCTATTCAATGGAACTAAATAAATACTCCATAATTGTCCTCAGCTTCTAAGAATTATTCTCGGTCAAATGCGTGTTACCCACGTGGAGGCAACATTCAAGCAGAAAGGGTGAGTAACCACAATCATTATAAAAGATATAAGGAAAAGATATAGTAGTTATAAACAATCACCAATCATGAAATATATACATCGTTATTTACCAAGTATTATACTCACACATTTACATCATACTAACATATGCACATCTTCATCACAAATCATCAAAACACAATCTTAACTCATTTAGTACGACATCAAATCAAGGTAATGCAATATAATGCAACCGAAGGGGTAACATTCAAGCAGAAGGAATGAGATATCAAACAATATAATAAACATATGATAACATTATATTAGAATCAATTCATGCAAAATCACCGCTTCACAACTTATAAACAACAACAATCACAACAAAATATCAACAAAATATAACGATTAATTCATCAACACAACAACTCATATATGCAACACAGAATGCAACTTATTACTATGCACATGCATGTAGTATCAATGGATCATAACTCCCAACTTAATAACTTGTCAATTAATAGAGGCAACAACAAGGCATAAGCCTTCAATTTAATATTTGTCAATCCAGGCCAACTTACCGATCACAAGCTCCCAACTTGATATGTTATGTATGTGACCACTTTATGAAACACAACAGCAACGTATAACAACATTGGCATAAGGCTACAACTTAAAAATTGTCAAACAACATGGCATGAGCCCTCACGAATGATATGAATGCAATATTAACACGCAACAACATAAATTAAATAACCACAAGGCATGAGCCTTCAACAATGTGCCAACTCAGGCCACCAACATCATTACCATCATAGTAATCAACAACACCTCATAACTTCATCGCAAGTAAAACAACATCATGATAAACAGTTCATCATCATCATTATAACATCATTATCAGCATATCATCGCCTAATCATCATAGTATCTAAGCATCATCATAACACATAACTCATCATCATGTCCTCATACTATATAAGGTATCATCATTATATCGTCTTAAATAAACAAACATCATAGTAACATCATCATAACATCATAACCAACAAGCATTAGTGTAATTCAACACGGGGAACCTAACTCCATCCTAACTTAGTTATTTGGGGAATGCTTATTTTATCTCATTTTAGTCCATCTAACTAAAGTTCGTTGTATTAGCTACCCTAAGCTTTGAACGGTATCTTAATCTGAGATATAAACCTCAAGTTATGGCTCTTTTAAGAACATCTGACACAACCAATCAAATCTGGACATCATCGCCCGACGAAGCCTCTTTCTCGCCTGACGAAACTTCACCGCTTCTGCATTTCCCAACAAAAGTGCGAGCGAAGCACTCCAGTAACAATCCTCTTTTCTGCCCTTCATCGCCTCCAAACTCGTTTGGCGACATCATAGAAAAGCTTCATCGCCCGACGACACCACCTTCGTCGCCCGACGATGCACACCAGATTGCAATTTTCTGTTGTGATCCCTACATTGTTCAATCCTCAGTCTTCTTGTGATTTCACATCAAAGAAAACCCCAAAACTCATCCAAACATCATGGTTTCACAATATCACAATAGTACAATATAGCAAACATCACGCGCATTATTCCTCAGCATTATAACATCAATTTAGCACCAATTTCATCATAATCATCATGTTTAGCATCAAAACAGCACATACGTAGTATAATAACATAGAACAAATATATTTTATAAACACATAAGTATTGTAATCATGCATCAAATAACTCATATAATTTAATCATAGTATAGTTCATCGCGCCAACTTTTCAACGCTTCGAACGGTGCGTCAAACGAACTCCTGGAACTCAAGTTACGGCATTTTGAAGATTTTTGCTGTATCACTTATGCCATCCGTCACCCGGCGAAGCCCTTGCGTCGCCCGGCGAAACTTGCGTTGACAACACTTCTCCTTCTATGATTTTCCATGGTTGGAGGCCTTCCGGACCTCCGAATTCGATTCCATAAAAACTCTCAATTTCAAAATTCAAAATCCTATGATTATATAACATTCTTATTAGTCTATGACAATTATTTTAAGGTCCTAACATCATATATAGATCAAAGATTCATTCATTCATTTAACACATGGTTTTCTCCTAATTTCATCAATCCTTATCAAATTTAACACATATAACATAGACCTATCACTCCTTAATCCGATATCAATCATAATAAAAGAGATTAAAACCCTTACCTTAGTTATTGGAAATTAATATCTTTCAAGCTTCATCAGATGAATCCATATGCTCTTTCTGCCTCTTTGTGCTCTAGACTTCCTTTCTCCTCAACGTCAGTTTTCACAGTCGTATAGAATGATCGTATAAACTCTCAAACCTCTTCTTTATACCAAACTTAACCTTTGGACCCCTAATATTGGTCTTCCCATCATGTCCTCACTTAGTCCACATTACTTTACCATTTAGCCCTTCTTGTTTCTACACCATAATTTCCTTTATAATAATAATTCTAAATATTATTTGTAAGTGTTTAGTTATTGGCATGTATTTTTGGTAAAACCAGGTGTATAAATGTCATGACTGATGTCATAACATTCTGGATTATTAGGTTCTTTTTGCAGAAAAAGTATGGCACACAATAGCTACTGTGTATCTGAGCATTTTC